CTCTCTCTCTCTCTCTCTCTCTCTCTCTCTCTATCTATCTATCTATCTCTATCTCTATCTCTCTTTATGCCACTCTAGGTGGGATATTGTTATCCTACTTTGAAATGTTTTATTTTACCCTGAAGAACAAATTTTCTTTTGACAAATCTGCCAAAGTTCTAATAATTTGTTTAACCTGTTTTCTTGTGGAAATATGAGACGCATTGACTAAAGACATACAAGCCAAGCATTGAATAAAGATGTACAAGCCTAGCTGAAGTTGAACCACATGTTTTTAACAGACTGTAGTATGCAGGCACCCACCTTTAATGGAACCTTTTATTTTCTGTATTTTCTACAAAATTAATATTTATCCATTTTATTTCAGACTCTTTTTCACCTTCCATTCTAGGAAAGAAAGAAATTTGGCCCCCTTGGTTGGAATATCTGCTATGAATTTAATGACAGCGATAGAGAATGTGCCTTACTGAACCTCAAGCTTTACTGTCATGAAGGAAAGATTCCCTGGGATGCGCTAATTTACATAACTGGTCAGTATATGTACTCAGCCAAGGGAGCACAGCACTCAGCCAGCTGTGGAGCACAGAATTACTGCTTTACACCTGCCTGGCCTGTGTGAAGATACTGTCTCCCCCAGTGTTTAAAGGTGGCAATGACCATTGATGTTCCCTTTGTGAACTTAAGATAGAGATAAGCACATCATGAGAATATTTGCACATAGAAAATCAGGGAGATGTTTTCCCCAAGCACAATAATAGGGAAAACCTCCATAGCTCTTGCTACATTTCTTGCGACAGAAATCATTCAGTGTGATTCCTTCCAGACATTATTTGCGTGTCTACCTGTCTGTGTGTCTATCTGTCTCTCTGAGTGGTGTATATACATATTCATGTGTGTGGTGCATGTGCATATGTGTGGGTGTGGGTGTGAGTGTGGGAGTGGGGGTGGGGATGGGGGTATGGGTGTGTACATGTGGAATCCAGAGGTATAAAAGGTATTTTCTTCAATCACTCTCCACCTTTTTTTTATTTCTTTATTCTTTGAAAACTTCATGTATATACAATGTATATTGATCATATTCACCCCCCACTCTCCTCCTCCAACTCCTCAAGTTCCCCCAACATTGAGGTAGATATGGGGTTACAGACATAAATTACCAGGCCTGGCTTTTATGTGGGTGCTGGGGATCCAAACTCGGGTCTCTGTGCTTGTGAAACACGCACTTCACTGACTGAGCTGTCTCCCCAGTCCTCCCCCCACAACACTTTTTTATATACTTCACATGAATGAGCAGATTAAATCCTAACAACTTTGCTAACATTGGTTTTGTCTGTGAAATCCTTTCGAGAGCACTACAGTGATAAGTGGCAAATTGTTCTAATGAATCTGGAAATTTTCCAAGACGTTACATCAACAGAAATCACTCAGTGTGGTTCCTTCGTACTCATATTTTTGGGATGACATTGAAGCATGCTAGATGATGCATCTCCATCTGTGGAGAGAGAGACAGTGTGGCAATAAGCTGAATTCCCCCTAACATAATCTGTCAGGCAAATGCTCCCACTTTGCATCTATCTTTCCTTCCTTGCTTGACAGCAATTATTTATAAGGTATGAATACAGTTTGAACGTCTTGCAACAAATATGTGGTTCCATTTTGCTCTTGGGCCCAAACAGAAGCAATGTCTCATGGGAAGTGTGTATGTTTTAGAATCCTGCAGTCACTGGTGAGTCGATACTCAGAACCAATATTTGGAAGCAAAAGAAGGAAGAAATACTCGAATAGAGCCCAGCGGCTCCCATGTACCTGTTCTGTGAAAAACAAAAGTAAAATTACTAGGTTAGAGTACATATGTTGGATTTTTTTCTTACTTTGAAAAAATTAACTTTTATTACCTTTGGGGGACATAGTAGGAAAAAATTATCCACTTTCAACACCAAATAAATGTGGATACAAATAAAACCATTAAAATTTGGGTATGTCTATCTATGTAAAATAACAAGCAGTGACATATTTTAAAATGCAAACTCCTTTTTAGGCGAAATCACTTATGGCGGGAGAGTGACAGACACCTGGGATCAGAGATGTCTTCGAACTGTCTTGAAAAGATTTTTCTCTCCTGAAACACTGCAAGCTGATTATAAATATTCTGAATCGGGTGAGTGACTTTTATGAAAAAGACCCTCCCCAAGAAGCCACAGATGGCATCCTTCAGTTTTCCATGTAGGTGTCCCATGTCCATCCTCACAGCTCCATCTCTCCACTTTCAAAGCTGGTTTGATAGCAAGAACACAGAGATGTGTGTTAGATAGCAGCCACTGGGGATTATTGCTTCATTACATGTGATTGCATTATGTCTGAATGCGTTTTCAGAGCTGTGGTCTGATATATTCTCAATGTAATTAGAGAACACTTCCATTACCACAAATTGAGTAAAGAAGATTTGTGAATTAGAGATAGTTCATTACGAATCAGACAGTAGGTAGACTAATGGCCTTGGGTGTTAAGTGCCCTTGGAGGGAGCAACCTGACCAGTACAGCGTAAGCTCACAAAAAAAAAGCTGCTACCACTGAGTTCTTAGAGGCTCTTTTGATTCGACCATATGTCTTTGTTATCATTAGGGGAAAAGGAGTAATCCTATAGTCCAGCATTCTGAAAATATAGCCTTTGGCTTGAGGAATTGGAATAAATCGATGCAAAGGTAGTCTCTAACACAAGCACAAATTTGGAGTCCTTAATGAGACACACCTTCCAACGGTGTCCAGAATCCTGGAAGAGATGTTCTGAAAAAAATTAGGATGCAAATTTCTGATACTCCAGGCCTCAGGAAATATTAATGTAGTTATGGGACTGGAGAGATGGCTCAGTGGTTAAGAGTGAGACTTGCCCTCGAAGATGGCCCAGATGTCAGGTGGCCCACAGCTGCCGGTAGCTCAAGCTCCAGGGATTCTAACATTCTCTTTCTGGCATCCACAGGCACCTCACCACTCACAGACACACACCTAGACAAGTGATTTTTTATTAAAATAAAACTTTAAAAATTAACGTAACTAGATGCAACCATGAAAGCATGGGGGCTTAGGAAAAGCGGCTTCCTTCCTCTATGTGAGACAGCCCCCATCTGGACCAGGCAGAGAAGAATCAAGCCTGGCAGCAGAAAGCCAATCCATTTGACACACATTTGTTGTCTGTGATTTGAACAACAGGCATCTATTTTGCCCCCATGGCTGACAGCATACAAGAGTTTAAGGACTACATTGAAGATTTACCACTGATAGATGATCCAGAAATTTTTGGAATGCATGAAAATGCCAACCTAGCTTTCCAGGTATGTGGTCCTTCAACTTAAGATACATATTTATATCGAGTATCTAAACCCACCACTCATCACTTACCCCCTGACTAGCTCTCTGAGTTACGTCCTTTCAGTAAAGAATTGAAAGAGTGGTTAGCCTTCCTTTCAACAGTGATTCTAATTTAGCCTGTTGCCTTTGAGCACTTAATGAGGCAGACCTTTCAACAGAATCCTAAGGTCACAAATTTTCCTGCCACTTACCAACCCCTCCCTCTCTACTCTTCTACCTAGTCTGTCCCTTTCACTGCTCATAGTGCATCAGAACGTGGGGCTTTCGACAAGATATATAATCCTTTCTCTTCTGCTCTTCTCCCACTGTACTGAGTACGTTTGTCTCAAGTTACACAAGTGTCTATGAGTCTATACATGGTTCGATCATAAGAGTACAGTTACAAATGTCCAAAGCATCATTTCTTGTCCTTTTGGCTCAGGTACAGCGCACAAATGTTCAAAGTAGGTAAATCAGCACTGTTTCCTCAAAGCACAGTTGATCAAAGAATACACTGGAGTATTTTACTTCTCTGTCAAGACCTTCTGATGCTGTACACTTTCCTGACAATAGGAGGCATGGCATTTGAGGGTCTCTCATGACACTATCCACCCTCCCAGCTTAATCTTTCCATGCACAAATATCTGTAGTCAACAGCCTGTGTCTTTGGGGGCCCCAGAAATCTTTAAAGGTCAGGAATTAGATTTGCTCTGGAAAGGTTGAAAAGGATCATCTTTTCAACTTCAATTCCACCCCACATATGTGTTGAGGGTAAAGTCTGCCTAGGTATCAAAGAATCTACACAGAGAAACATTGGAATCCTTAGAAAGAGCACTGAGAGGTCAGTGTTCTCACACCTCATTTCACATTCCGCCAATGAAACTGCTTCATTCTACAGGTGATATGTGTCCTGTTTTTCCTTGTTCTACTTTCAGGAGGAAAAACTTGTGGCTAAACTGTTGTCAATATTTACTCCACTCTGACTACTTGTCCTAAAAGTGGAAGGGGGGAATGCAGGAAGGGGAGGAGAAGATAAAAATGAGAATGTTGTAAGGGTCATTGTGTCTCGGGAGAGCAGCTCTGTGGGGATGAAGCCCTGGCCCTGTGAGCCGGCATGTGGGTTTCGTGTTTTCCGTTGGTGACAGAAGGACTGGGCGAGAACAGATATATAATGAGGCCCCAGACGTGTCTTTCTCTGCAGTCTTTTCTTCCACTTTTCTGGATTAGTACATTCCTCTACTCGAACTTCTTTCCTTGAAGCAACTGTCCTTTTACATTTCATAAAATTCTGATAAGATTTCCAACCACCACCACCCTGCACAGAGGCAGACATGTGAGCCAAGCTTAGTCAAAGTCTGCACCCTCTTCCTCAGCTACGCTAACATGTCCAAAGAATATTGCACCACCTAGATACAGATGCTGAGTTGCAGGGAAGACTCTCTTCTTGAAACAGTCTGTCATGTATCTGCCGTCACCTGTGATCTTTTCCCTACCATTCCCACACTCTCGGCCCCACCCCACCCCCATCACCACATAGAAGTATCTTTGCCATAGGAAAGAATAGGGACAAATCAGAAAGAAACAGCTACACATGGGCAGGAAAAAGATTATATCTTTTTGTGCCTGCGTAGGGAAAGCAAAAGTCTATCTGTACTCTCTCAAGGTCCCAAATGAACCAGAAAATTAAACTGGTATAATTGGTATAGGTTCACAGGAGAAAAACTTACAAATTTAATAAAAGTTTTATGTGACACCAGTAAAAAGCAAAGCCCCAAAGAAGTGCTAAAACCTACATAGTTTGGTTTTATGTTAAACAAGGAGAGGCCATTATGGGAAAGAAACTAAACGATGTGGAGGGGCCGGGGAAGATAAGAAGTATTTGAACAAGCTCTGTTTCTACCAGATCCCCATGGAATCTGGCTCTGGAAGGGCAGCTTCATGTAGGAGTTTTTATCTCCTGTTTTCAGAAAGAATGAAAGAGGAAGATTAAAATGTCCTTCCTCCATCTGCTGTCTCCAAGTTGCCATTAGCTAGAGATAATCCTTATGTCAGAATGGCTCATTACAGAATAACATGTTCTGCTCCCTAACCCAGGACCCAGGTTAAGAAATTCTGCCTCTTTTAATCAATTTTGTCTTAACATAAAAGCCCAACCCTACTTCTTCGTACTCTCAGCAAGTTCTACCTCTATACAAGCTTATTAGAAACTAGTAAAGGACAGGAAAGGGGCAGGGAGGGAGGCAGGGCTACGTGTCCCGACCACATGTCAGCAGCCCCCTCTGCTGCTGTCTGAGCCTGGCCTCAGCACCCCAAGCACATTGCCAAAATGTTGCTCTCTAAAACTGACTGAAAACACACAGGACATAAAGGGAAAGCAAATTGTTTTGACAATGGACTTTAATGTTTCTATGACGAACAGCCAGATACCAAATGACCAAAATATCAAAGCTATCATCCCATGTATGCATCAAATTCTGATCAACAATGGAACCAAGCTGGTCATCTTTGTGAGTTACTGGCCAGCCTGATTGATGGTGTCCTTAGAGTCAGTTGCTATAGAAGTCAATGCTACTGAACAAGAATGCTCTATTCTTTTAAAAATTTACTCATTGAGGCTGGAGAGATGGCTCAGCAGTTAAGAACACTGGCTGTTCTTGCAGAAGACCCAGGTTCAAATCCCAGCACCCATATGGTGGCTAACAACCATCTATAACTTCAGTTCCAGGGGATCAAACACCCTCTTCTGTCCTCCGAGGGCACTGTGTGAAATGGGTGCACTTACACACATGCAAGTATAACACTCATACACACAAAATAAAAATAAATAAACCAAGAAAAAAATATTTATTTTTTATTTTTAATTATGTGTGTATGTGGTATGCATGTGAGAGTGCACGTGCCCTTAGAGGCCAGAGGCACCAGATCCCTCCCACCCCTACCCAGAGCTGGAGTTCCAGGTGGTTATGAGCAGCCTGACATGGGTGCTGGGAATGGAACTCAGGTCTGCTATAAGAGCAGTACGCTCTCTTAACCACCCAGCCATCCATCTAACCCAGTGTTCTGTTCTTTGTTTGTTTGTTTGTTTTTGGTTTTTTGTTTTTTTTTTTTAATTTTCAAATTTTATTTTCAAGTTTTTTTTGTATGTGAGTGCACCGGGGTCATGTGATGCCGTGGGGGCCA